ATGATACAATATTTTGAGGATATTAATAGTATCTATAGCATTACAGAAAACGAAATGCGTATTTTTTTCAATATAGAAAGTGTTGAATAGTGTTATAATTAATTCCGTTTAATATTTTGATTACATGATTGCTTCGCTACAGTAGGAAACCTTACGGTAACTAGTGGCGGGGTAGGCGTGGGTTGACACCCAGGGCGTTTTTCTATCAAGAACCCCCCAAAATAAAACAAAAAGTACTATACATGCTAACGGGGCTTTATTTCGCTAAAATATTCTAATATAAAAATTTACTTTCTTGTCATTTTCGATAAATAAAATAGAAATATTGGTTAGTCCCGCTTGGCTCATTGTGGACCTTAAGTTAGATTTTATTAACTTGTTTTGAAAACCTTCCTTCACATGAAACTTAATAATAAAAAAAATCTTAGACATAGCGCTAGATTCGGGACAGATTCAGAATAGCCCAATTTTACGAGAAAAGCTCCAATGAATTACATTGAACCGCTTCTTGGGAAGAAATACTGGCAGCTTTCAAGTCGTAAAGTCTTCAAAATTATATATCCTGCAGAAAAATCATCGTAGATTTTTGTCAGATTTTGAACTATTACACGAAGATCTTCATCTGGTGACGTTAGCAGAGTGTAAGGATTACTATTTTGATTGATATAGGATTACTATTAAGGATTACTATATACTATATTAATTGATTTTTATCACATACTTTTCTAGTGATAGTCAAGTTTATTATTTATTATTTACTTTTGTGTCTGACTAAATTCTTTTAGGATTTTACACCAAAAGTAAAGAAAGCATAAAAAACTGAAGTTACACAAAGCTGGTAAGGGTGTAGATGCTGCTTCTCCTGTATCGACGTTTTCTCTGTTGGTGCTGGGATCATATATATCTTCGAGTGTTTATACTAGTTTTTATAAATTATTTTGCAGTAGTTTAACAGCGTCATGATGAGCAATCCATCTTGTCTCTGAGAGTCTTTTGACGGATACGCCTACACTTTTCATTAAAGTTTCCCATTGGCGTGGGGATGATAAAAAGAACCTGTAAACTCTTTCTACTGTTCCGAAAAAAAGTTAAGCTAGAATTAACGCTCCCTAAGTGAGTGCAATCCACATAGATTTAGCGAATGATTAGTAGAAGGCGTTTTCTACGTGGTAGAGCCATGCCGCAGCTATATTAGTAGTATAGTTGTAGTACAAATGGGTCGGCTCGACCGGGGAAGGACCACGCTCTCACAGAATACCAGCGTAAAATAGCAGCTCAACACTGACTTGTTTCGTATGGTGAGTGTAGAGAACCGGAGACCCTTTTTACTGGAAAAAAGGCATTCCATCTTAGTCCTCACGGGAAACAACGCATCTGCATTTTGATTCGCAAACGAGGATAGGTGTAGATGTCTATGGGCCACAGCAACTACTTACCATCCGGTAGTCTGTGTGCTCGTTTGTCACCCTATCCCATAGACATAGTATCTTCAATTTCTATCTACGCCCTTTCATTCTCTATCTACGCCCTATCCCATTAAAAAAAAACAATATATTCATTTATTTGACAACGTCAAATTGTAAAATAGTGTTGTCATCTGTAGCGTAAAATGCACCCCCAGGTTTTTAGGGAAAGAACATTCGTTTTTTAGTGTGTCTTTTTGTGTTACTTAATAATATGCTTAATTGAAATACAATATGGAATATCCCCACTATGATTAGCGATAAAAAATGTAAGATTATCGTTCTAGCATACGTCCAAAAAATAATTTAAATCAATAACTGTTTAAACGTTGGTAATGTTTTTATATTCTGAAAACATTTATCAATGGTAGAAGGGAATAAAATACAAAACTCGGTGCCACTCTTTCTAAGAAAAATGGGGAACGGTTACAATGTTCCAAGTGCTCACTCCCTATATTATATTATAACCTCCTTGCTTAGAATATATCAATGGCCGCCAATGCCCAACGCCGTCAATGATTCCTTTTTTACGGCATTGACTTTAGTTTTTCAGGATATATAAAGCCTAATATAAAGCCCCTAAAAAATCCCGCCCTATGTTGGGAATTTTTTAGGGGCTTTATATTTTTAGGAGTATTTTCAAGGACTTTTATATTTGTTTCCACTTAAGCTGATTTTTGTCTATAATTTTAAGACGATTGCGGTGCAAACCTTTTGAAAATATTTCAAAATTCGGGTGGTATGTTTCGCATTAATTATCACGTTCTAATTTCTTGTTATTTATCGAAATGCTACCAAATGTGATAATGATCTGATTTACATTGCAACGAAATAGCGTATCATCTATAACATTTGATCCATTTACTAAAACGTGTGTTGATTAAATATCCAAATGTATGATTTTGATATGTCGGGACCATCAGGAGAAAACGAAATAGTATTATGAAATATTAAATAATTTATATTTTAAGAACATTACAAAGCATTGTACTTTTTTAGGGCACTACTTTTAGGGATTTCCAAGTAAACAAGGTGATTTTAGGGGTTTTCAACCGACTTCAAAAAAGGATGAGGTTCTCATTTCGTTCGATTTTTCTATGTATGTTGACTGATTACTCGAAGACGCCTGAACCTATTTGGATTTTTTTTTTGTTTAAAGGGTAAACTTATACCTGTACTTTCCAGGTGGCCCTATTTAAATTTTATCGAAATCGATAAAGCGGTTTTTAAAAAATCAATAATAAAATATATTCTAATTGAAGTGGGTTGTACAAAATTTTTTAATTTTACTATTTGACTTAACGTTAACCTTAACCTTTAGGGGTAAATATTTTTTGCAGTTGGTAGCACTGTTTGGTTTTTGTAATCGTAGAGCGTAGACTGGTACACCATAGATAAATATATATGTATGCTGTAGGGGTGTCCACTTTGAAAATATATCGATGTTTTTTTTCGATGTGATGCATCGAGACTGTGCATCGATATATTTCGATGCATTGGTTAGAAACATCGATGTTTTTGCAACATCGAGTACTTTTTATAACTTTACATTATAAATCTGTAGTCAACTTCCTGACATCCCCATTCAAACAATCGACAATTTTGAATGATCTACTCTTACATCGGCACTGTCTTTGTCCGCACGCGTTGTGTGAGTGTGTGTATGGGAGTGTTCATGGATGTAACAAAATTCACGAAAAATGTGTCCAGAGTTAACCTATAAAAACGTATTATTTACATATATATATAATGTTACTACTACAATTTAACAGCCTTTCAACTACAACCAGAAGCTGTTTTCATCTTATGCAGCTTCTAGCGAAAATTATCGGTTTGATTTTTTGTTTTTACAATTAATGTGAATTTAATTTAAATACTACGTATGTTGTATCTAAGCAAAATATTACTTTTAAATTATTAAAATAGTCCTTATCGAACATATATATAAATATAAATAGTTTTGCTCGTTTTGTGATACAGTAATTTTAGAGTGTATTTTCAATCGACAAAACGAAGACTGTAGCGCAATTGCAACTCTTTTTGCATTTTGGAACTCTTTTGCCTTGGACACTTGAGTGCAGATCCGAGGTCCATTTAGTAGTAGGTCAATGTTTACGATATTATTTTAAACGATTTTAATAGAAAAAAAGCATGCATCACAATAAAAATACTAACATATGGAATATAAATCCATCTTTTGTAAATTTTAAGTATTTTGACTGCTTTATGATCGCACCGATCGGTATTTTTAAAGAGCACCTACTTCAGCGGAAACGATTCTTGTAATAATAAAATCGATTTCGTAAGCAGTTTTTATAAACGCACAAGCTTTTAAATCCAATACCTTGGCAGAGGGGAATAATTATGCGAGATGAGTCTGAGGTTAAATGGTCTTAAGGCGGCTATCACTTGCCTGCCGCAGGGGCAATCTAGGGTGAAGGAGTGGGGATGACCCTTAATTGCCTCCTTAATTGTGATGTGTATATGGAAGCAGGGGCAATTTTCTAAGTCGGCCCTGCGGCAAAACGACATGGGCGCAAGACCTTCCTTGCTCCCTAGATCATAGCTACCACGCCACACGTGTAACGCAAATGGGGCAGTTTCAAACAGTTCGTAAGCGACTTTCGCATACAGCATACGTCATAATGGATACCAATAAAACATATGAAACTGGTGATAGAAGTGTATAAAGAGGCGGCTTCTTCACCCAGTATCTCCTTTTTGTCTTATTTTTGCGGTAGCACCGCAGAAAGAACGTTATCTGAACGTCGTAACGTTTTTAAACGTGGTAGAGTTATACTGCAGCTTTTAAAGACTGTGTTATGGGTGTAATTATTAATTAATTAGTTGTTTTATCAATAAATATGGGTGTCTATGGGCCACAGTATCCACTTAACGTCAGATGGACTGTGCTCATTTGTCACCCTTATTCTATATAAAAAGAGCCAAGGCTATATTTACCGATTCATTTATAATTTGATAAAACTAGCGCCATTCTCACGCGTGTGTCCAGCGAGACGTACACTCTCACATAGAATGGCAGGCATGTGTGTAGAGACAGTTCTGATATTGCCCCGATCGCTGTTTATCCTAGATTGCCCTGCGGCACGAAAGTGAGAAGCCGCCTTAAGACCGAGACAGACCAGGACGATTTTCCTTAGATTTTCTTTAATACACAACTAGCCAAATTCAATTTCTTGATTCCGCTAATGGACTGACAGCCGCTAACTAGCGCCACCAACAGGTTTAGATATTATAACTTCTAAATCAGAGCATGTTTTCGTTTTTCTGATTTAGAAGTTATAATATTAATAGTGGTAGATAAGTATACCTGTTTACAATTGACTGGTTATCATTGATTCGATGTTTTATGAAAATACATCGATACATCGAGTATATCAATAGCTTTCCAAAACATCGGATCGATTCGATGCATCGTATTGTAAACATCGAGTGAATTCGATGCATCGATGTATATCGAATATCCCTAGTATGCTGGTATACAGTAATCTGTGTTTTGTACATAATAATTTGTTGTTTTTGATTCGATTGATTCCTTGCGTAATAATATAATATATTTTAAGTTTATTCTATTGTCTGTTAAGTTAACCATAGAAAAATTATTTCTATACAATTTAAATTTAATGCATAACATATAATGTACTGAATATTATGATCGCTACACTGCAGCACAAAAGCGTTGCTTACTATGAACCCAAAATTAAAGGGCATGATATTTGATAAGGTAAATATTATATTAATTAGGACATTTATTGAGAAATTTTGAGAGAATTTTATGTACATCTAAATATATTCAAATATTTTACAGATATTACATCACAATGTTACGAAAAATATTATTGACAATGCTAAGTATTTTCAGTTTTCCTATGATCACGACACGAAATTATTTATTATCAATATAAATTATAGCAAAATCCGAGAAGTTGAGAGTACGGAGAAGTCTAACAATCAAATCTTTTGTAGACAAATAAAAAAAATTGAATCACAAAATTTTACAGTAAACAGAGATATATTTATAAAGGAAGTTTTAGAGAATTTTCAATGCATTAAACCAAAAGTAAATAAGAAACCTAAAAAAATTCTTATTGATTTTAGTTCACCAAACATAGCAAAACCATTCCATGCTGGTCATTTAAGGTCTACAATCATTGGTAATTTTATAGCAAATATTAATAATTTTTTCCACAATGATGTTGTAAAAATAAATTACTTAGGTGATTGGGGCACACAGTTTGGACTATTGCAATATGGTTTGAAATCAAAACATATTGACATGAAAAATTTTGAGTGTGAGAATCCAATTAAAAAATTATATGAAATTTATGTGGAAGCAAATAAAATGTCTGCAATTGATGAAAATGTGCAAAAAGAGGCTAGAGCATATTTTACAAACATAGAACAAGGAAAGACAAGCTTAGATAACTGGAGGAGAATTCGAGAGATTACTGTTCAAGAATTGGAAAAAGTTTATCAAAGATTGGGAATACAGTTTGATTGTTACCAATGGGAGTCAGAATACAATGGAAATGCTATAAAGGGATTATTAAGGTTACTAGAAGATAATAACGTAATAGTGAAAGATGATCAAGGGAAGAAGGTTGCAAAATTTAGAGACAGAGATGTCACAGTCTTAAAAAGTGATAATTCAACATTATATCTTTCTAGAGACATTGCTGCACTCTTGGATAGATATAAAAAATACAATTTTGATAAAATGCTGTATGTTGTTGACAATGCACAGACAGACCACTTTGCAGCCCTCTTTGATATAGTCAGACAAATTAACAAAGATTGTGCTGATGGTTGTGAGCATATAAAATTTGGTAGACTTAAAGGAATGAGTACTAGATCTGGGAGTGTTGTTTTTCTTAATGATGTATTAGATGAGGCAAAGCACATTATGCAAGAAAAGCAGGCGACATCTAAAAGTAATTCAATCAGCAATTTGTATTATTTATTTTAGAAATATTGCTTAATAATATTTCATTATCACCATCATATTGCAACCCATCATATAACTACTGCTGAATATACCCTACTGCTAAGGACTTGCAACACCTGCATATCTAGTCATAACTTCACATCATTAAGTTGTAAAGGCTACCCTTGCTTCTGTAAGATCCTAATTAAGAATCATTCCAACCCTTCAAATCTCAATATATGGTATTTAAAATAATACAATTTTTATGTTTAGACTAACATTGAAATATGTTGCATTTAAATGTATTCTGTAGTAATGATTATTGATAACAATGAAATGAAAGACGTTCAATGACCACAAATATATGAGGTTTGAAAACATAGCTTCTTTGTGATATTTTTGGGATTGCATCTCAGCAGGAACCAATATTTGTCCAAAAACACTAGTTTAAGAATTTGTCTGAATGTGTGAAGGTCTCCTGGGCTTCTTGCTATGAGGGGAGGTCAAAAAGTTTGCAGAATAAAAGGGAATGGGGGTGAATTAAACTTAAATTATTTTTTCTTTTTGGTATATACTCCATTAACCATGATACACTTCTCAGACCATTCAAATAACTTATTTACACCTTTGAAAAAACATGTTTAGACGAGGCCCTCAAAATAGGCAGAAATTGCTGACTTCACATCTTTGTCATCTGTAAATTTCTTTACCCGAAGTTCTTTTTTCATATTTGGGAACAAATAATAATCCAATGGGGCTAAATCTGGACTATAGGAAACACGGCTTAAAGTTTGGAAGCTGCACTTGTGTAAGGAACACCCAACAACAACCATGGCAACATGACTTGTGAACAGGTTGCGTTGGCATGCAAAAGGAGCACACCTCGAGATCATTCTCCCCTTTTTTTTTCTTTAATTACATCTTTTAATTTCTTTAGTAACATAATACTGTGATATTGACACCTTTATCTTTAAAGCTTTTAAAATGTTACTTCGCAAACATCTGCTCGATAAAATAAAATTATGTGTCTTACCTTGTATGAAGAGCACCTCCCGCCCTCCCTCAATTACGTACACTATCCCCGTCACCACTAATCCCAGCGCCACTACTCCCAACACCACTACATTAGGAAAGACACACCACTGACGACAATATGACACGTGTTTCAACTCTCCTGGCATCAGGCATCCTCAGGTGATGTAGACTCTGCGGTGGCTGATGGTCAGCTGGTGTTGGGAGTAGTGGTGCTGGGATTAGTGGTGACGGGGATAGTTCACGCAATTGAGGGAGGGCGGGAGGTGCTCTTCATACAAGGTAAGACACATAATTTTATTTTATCGAGCAGATGTTTGCGAAGTAACTTTTTAAAAGCTTTAATATAATGGATTTCCGCGAAGTAACGCCTGATTCTATTAATTACCTTTATCTTTATAATCGATCAATAAAATCCCCCTCTTAATCCCAAAAAACTGAAGCTATAATCTTTCCTACCGATTGTGACACCTTGAACTTCTAGGTGGTGCTGCATCTTTGTTATTCCACTGCAGCGACTTCTGCTTTGACTCAGGTTCATAGTGAAGAACCAAAGTTTCATTCCCAGTCACAATTCGGTTCATAATTTTGTCTCTGTTCTCACTTACGTGCTGTGTATGACAACCATAGACAAAATGGAATTTGGATTGTCTAACCTTGGTACCTCATGGCATGATTACAAAAATTAATTTCTTGTGATCTAATAAAAAATAAGTTTTAAGTTTTTATTTTTTATAAATTATTATTGTGGAATTATAAATATAAAATATAATATAAATTTTTTAAACATTTTTTTTATAGGATAGGGTGACAAACGAGCACACAGTCCACCTGATGGTAAGTGATTGCTGTGACCCATAGACATCCACATCTCTCCTCAATAAAGAATCAAAATGCAGATGCGATGTCACCCTTGAGGACTAAGATGGAATGCCTCTTTTCCAGTAAAAAGGGTCTCCGGTTCTCTACACTTACCATACGAAACACAGCAGTGTTAAGCTGCTATTTTACGTTGGTATTCTGTGAGAGCGTGGTCCTTCCCCAGTCGAGCCGACCCATTCATGCTACAATTATACTACTAATATAGCTGCAACATGTCTCTACCACGTAAAACCCTAGCTATAATAAGTCCTCTGCTATGGAATGCTATAAAGCACTGTGTTGTTATAATCACAAATGGTAATCTACATATAGTAATATTACTTACAGATACAAGAAACTCTGCAATGAATGAAGAAACATGTGACATACTTGGTACAACTGCTGTGGTAATTAATGACTTGAAGCAAAGGAGGCAAAAGGACTACGTCTTTGACTGGGATAAAGCACTTCAAAGTGATGGAGATAGTGGAATAAAGCTTCAGTATCTCCATTGCAGATTAATGAGCTTAGAACAGAATTGTGGAGTGGGGATTCCTAAAGTCTGTGCTCCTGAGTATCTAACTGAAGAAGTTGTTGGTGATGTTGTAGCTGAATTGGCCAGATTTGAAGTTGTATTAAATAGGGCATTTTTGGAAAATGAAGCTTGTATCATTGTGAATTACTTATTTCGATTAGCAAGACATGTTAATAGGATGTTTAATGAGTTAAATGTAAAGAATGAACACAGTGATTTAGCAGCTCAGAGGCTGTTAGTCTTTCATACTGCCCGATATGTTGTGAAAACTGGTTTAGAAATATTAGGAATCAGACCGTTAAATGAAATGTAGTTATTTTAATTATATGAAAACAGTTTAACTAATTAGATACTTTTATTGCTTTCTATAGCGATCTCAGCCAGCACTTTCTTCCTGCAATCCTTAGACTTCCTGCAATCCTTAGACTTCCTGCCATGTGTTACATTTTGAATTATTCTTTCCTTTTTTATAACATATAATAAACTATTGGTAAAACCAATTGTGCATGCATTAAGCACATTAAAAAAATTACGTATAACATGATTATACGTAAATTTTTAAAGTAGTTTAATTATTGTATATATTCATCATTATTATTATACTTCCAATTTTCCGATAATTTTATGTCAAACTTCAATTTTAAAAAAAAGATCGGAAAATCCAAAAGTGCACCACTCATAACGTTCATATAATCGCAAAAAATTAAAAGCAAAATTGTAAATTGTAGTTCTAGTCAGGGCCGGCCCTACCATAGGGCAAACGGAGCGACCGCTCCAGGCGCCAAGTCCCAGGAGGCGCCTTAGTCAAATTTTATAATAGCATAGATACATACATAATAGAAAAATACAACCTTTTAGCTTATTTAGGTAACAATTTTGCACGCTCCTTAGAAGCTTAGTCTCTGTTCCGTTTCTCTTTCGTTGCTCATGTGCCTGAGTTTATTGATAGAAATTTCCTCGCTTTTCAATATTTTGGTTTCGAACGTGTGGCTATAGTTGGTATATATGCATATGGCCTTATTTTTTGAGACGAGCGCGGAATTCTTCAGCGCTTATTTGTATTTTACAAACTCAACAAAAAGATGGGAACTTATTTCAAAACATTTGAAGAGCTTAACTTAAATGTGTGTCAAACAAGATGCGAAAGTAGAGTCAACAGTTTGCTAGCGGTGCGGTATCAGTATGCCGAAGTAGAAAGTGCCTTGGAAGAAGAATTATAAATGTTAGCTCGTTCAACGCATTCAAGAAACAATTGTATGAATATCTTGTTGCAAATGACTCACTTAAATAATCGTGAATGCGTTGCGCGGGTGAAGTGTGTGTATTTTTGGTGAATATAATTTGGTGAACGACTGTAGAATTTACTTTTAGCTATGTACTCATGTAAGTGACATGCATTTGTCTTAATGAATAATAGGTAAATATCTTTAAACCTAGAGTATCGACACACTGATCCCGTGGTAAGTTTGGAAGCTATATCACTTGCAGCCAATTTTAAGAAGTTCGTTTTGCTGTCTTTAGTCATTTGTACGACGTTTTATTCCACGTTAATCTTCTCAGCACATGCATGCAAGCAGAGCGCATATATTTATCAGATGCTACAAAACTGATGCACAAAAAAGAATATACCTAGAGACGAAGGTATAACAAAGGCTTTCATTGCAGCTGAAAAAGCTGAAATAAACTCGGAGTTTGAAAGAATCCGCGAACGAAAAAAGAAGAAAATATTCTTATAGCCCAGGAGGAATCGGCGCATGAGTACCAAAACTATATTCCACCTTAATTTTTTCATGCGATTCTCTTCAAGTTGTCCTGCTGATGATATAAATGCATGTTGCCATGGGGTGACTCGGTGCCATATTGTTTAAACCGTTTTTTCTTTCATTGTTATTTTCAAACTGGACAATTTTTTTGTATAATTTAATAAAATACAAATAAAAAAGTCCCATGACTTAAAGGTTTGAAAGATCCCAAATTCAGATAGGTACTTTTGACTCTAAACATATAAAGAAAAAGAATAAAATATAAATATATTCCGGATAAAGTTGTTAATTTATTCAGATCAAATGTTTTCTATCCAAAGTTAGACACCGCCATAAACTTAAATTGAGACATGCTTTACACGACTTTTTACAATTAATGAGACTTGGAGTTTATAGAATAGAATAGTATAGAGAGTTTCCTCTGAGTTGAATAAGACCGATGAACATTTTAAGAAAGTATGCTCATAGTTGGAGCAAAAATAAATATTTCGGGATTGGAGCTTTCAAGAGAAATGATGTGTTTGAAAAAGTTCTTACATATCGATAAAGGTCACCCGAAAGCAGTCCTTCAGCTCTTAGTATTAAATAATTGGCAAGATACGTTACCTAATATTAGGTCTTTACCTATGAAATTGCTGTTTTTTATGAAAAAGTTAACGTAAGTATTTTTCTATATTTTTTTATTTCTATCAATCAAAGTAATCATCCATGCAATCGACGCATCTTTGCTAATGCACTAGCAGTTTATTGATGCCCTTCTTGAAAAAATCAGCTGGACGGGAGAGACAACAAATTATTCAAAAGTATTTTGTACTGCCTCTCGGGTATAGAATTTTACTCCCGCCAAAATATTATTTAAATTCTGAAAAAAGTAGAAGTAGGCGCAAAGTCTGGTGATTACGGCGGATGACGGGAGCTTCCAGCCCAGCTCTTGTTACTTGGATGGAGACCGTCTGTTGTGCAGTATGAAGTCGCGCGTTACCGTACAGGAGCAGCGGGGACGAGCGATTGACCAAAGCTGGTTGGAGACGAGACGAGCCTCTCCATCATTGTGTTCAGTTATTCACAGTACTCATCTGCAGTAATAATGCTCATCCTGTTCGGTAAGAAGCTGTGATGAATCACACCGCCGCTAGACCAACAAACAGTGACCATCACTTTTTTAGGGGTAAATTTTCGCTTATGGCATTATTTAGGTGCTGAATCAGGATCCAACCAACTTGCTGAGTACTTACGATTGTCAAACAGAATCCATTTTTCGTTGCATATAACAATGCGGTTCAAAATTCCTTCGTTTGTGTGCCTGTTAAGCAGTACAAAGCACGTATTGATGCGCACTTCGCGTTAGCGATCATTAAGTTCGTGGGGCGCCCATATGTAAACCTTTTTTGTCTTGCCAATTTGCCGCAAATGGACCAATATTGTTTTGATGCTAACGTGGAAAGCTGCTGCTTATTCAACCGTACATTGAGTATCATCAGCTTTCAGAATCGCCTTTATTCGTCATTGTCCTTTAATTCGATCAAAGTTTTCGGACGATCACGGAGTTAATTTTTCAGGTCGAAATTTCCAGAACGGAAACGGGCAAACCAATAACAGGCGGTGCGTTGGTTTACATTATTCGCTCCGTAAACGTCGTTGATGTTGCTTGCCGCTTGTGCCGCGTTGCTGCCACGACGGTACTCATTTTCCATAATTACTCGAATTTTAACGTATCCATGATGACGAAAAAGATAAAAACATAACGGTTATCAATAAACAAATGACAAATTTTGAAGAAACGATTCCATGTTTTTAAAATAGAATTCTTAGCCAAACAAAAATTATTTTAGTACCGCAGAACGGCAATTTCATAGTTAAAGACCAATTATTTGGACAGCTCTCCAGATTTTTGTAACTATTCCGATTACGGTGGCCAAAGATGAACGCAGTTTTAGCAAGCTTAAGCTAAGTAAAACATAGCTGAGGTCGACTCTTGCAGAAGATAAGGTTTCCGATCTAGCCTTGCTGTCAATTGAAAATGATACAGCTCAGACATTATCGTAGGAGGAGGTCATATAAAAATTTGTAAATGCAAAAGTGCGTACGCAGCGATTTAATTAAAATTCGTTCTTCATTTAAATAGTTTATTATTAACCCATTGAGTGTTTTCAGGACATACACGTGTCCTAAATGCTATTGTTTTAATTTTTCCGACATTCAATGGATTAATTATATTATTATTGGGAGCCAGTAGGCTAAACCTGAAGAGTTTGGTTTTAATAAGCATTGTTACATTAATTAGTTATGATGAACTATTTCTTCCAGAAGCGGCCCCACAGGAAGTGGACCTGGTCGAGCCCCGACGGTTCCACAAAAAATGAGATTGACTTCATTATGACGACCAGACGACAACTGTTCAGTGATGTCTCCGTGATCGCGAGGGTGAAAACTGGTAGCGATCACCGAATGGTTAGAGGCACACTGAACCTAAACGTTAAGTTGGAGAGGTCTCGTCTAATGAAGTCAACGCTCCGTCCCCCTCGTGCTCTGTTTCAAAGTCCCGAAACCTTTCAGCTCGAGTTACAAAACCGTTTTCAGTGCCTAGAAGACTGCAATGAAGTGGACGATATGAATGACAAGCTCGTGGAAACTGTCCATGCGGTTGGAGCTAAGTTCTGCAAGACCCGCCGCAGAAGAACACAAAAACTCTCCGATCACACTGTTAATCTCATGGCTGTTAGACGGGAGATGAAGCTACATTCTTCAACAGACTTGACAGCATACAGGCATCTGAACAGACAGATCTCCAAATGCATGCGGCGGGACTTACGCAACTTCAATACAGCTCGTATTGAAGAAGCGATCGAGCGGAACCAAGGCTCCAAAGTCTTTGCCAGAGATCTGTCTGCCAGAAAGAGCCAACTGTCAAAGCTGAAGACAGAGTGTGGCAGCATCGTTTCCGGGACACCTGAGATTTTGAGTGAGATTGAGAGGTTCTATGGGCAGCTGTACACATCATCGTTGGAGCCACACGCAAGTGTGAGTAACGATCCAAGAGCGAGTCTCATCCGACACTATTCCGAAGATATCCCGGATGTCAGTCTGAGCGAGATTAGGATGGCTCTCCAGCACCTTAAAAACGGTAAGGCCCCAGGCGAGGATGGAATTACAGCGGAGCTTCTGAAAGCGGGTGGAAGACCGGTACTTGAAGTCCTTCAGAAGCTCTTTAATTCCGTCCTCCATGGTGGCATTACACCGGAGGCGTGGAGCAGAAGTGCGGTGGTCTTGTTCTTCAAGAAAGGTGACAACGCTCTCTTGAAGAACTACAGACCGATTTCCCTTCTGAGCCGCGTCTACGTGCTGTTTTCGAGAGTCATTACGAATCGTCTCGCGCGCAGACTTGACGACTTCCAGCCTCCCGAACAAGCCGGTTTCCGAAAGGGCTTTAGCACCATAGACCACATACATACCCTTCGGCAAGTTGTACAGAAGTCCGAAGAGTACAATTTGCCACTATGTCTGGCGTATGTGGACTATGAGAAAGCCTTTGATTCCGTCGAAATTTGGGCGGTGCTGCAGTCCCTTCAGCGGTGCCAAG